AGAGCAGAGACTGAAAGAGTGAGGCTAGGCATAAAAAAAAAGGGGAAAAAAAAAGACTTTCTTCTTCAAGAGTGAAAACTTCAAATGCTCAGTTTGACTTNTGCGGGGTGCAGCTGGGGCGCAGTGGAGGGAGTGCTCTTTTCCCTGCCGCTCCAGTTTAATTGCTCTGACAGCTCAACTACGAGCCTCTATTTAGGGCTTCCAGTTTAGAGGTGGCTTTGGAGAAGGGGCGGGGGAGAGTGGGTGAGTGTGAGGGAAGACAGAGATAGAGGGATAGATAGAGAGAAAGAAGGAGAGCGAGAGGCAGCGCCTTGCCCAGGACACTGCTGCAAGTGTCATCCNCTCTCTCTCTTTCTCTCCATCTCTCGCTGGTTGCCATGCTACAGTGGCCCTTTGAACTGGTTCCCAGAGAGGTGCTGTCTGATGGACAGCTTTGATCCTGCTGCATCACCCAGCTTTCTCCACACCACCTGCAAACAGAAGCAGAGAGAGGAGTTGAGAGGGGAAGAGGAAGAGCGAGACGTGCAGACAGAGCAGAGACTGAAAGAGTGAGGCTAGGCATAAAAAAAAAAAGGGAAAAAAAAAAGACTTTCTTCTTCAAGAGTGAAAACTTCAAATGCTCAGTTTGACTTTGAGCTGCAAAGACCACACACACACACACACACATACACACGTTACAGTAGAGCTATCTCGGTATCCGTCCTCTGTCTCTGCGAGGCTGCTCTCTGGTGCTGAGATCTCTCTGTGAGTGAGTGAGAGGGGGGCCCCCGGGGGACCCCAGTGATATTACAGAGGTACTATTGTAGTGCTCCCCAGATTCCTGGCCTGTCACATACCTCTGCCGGGCCCAGATAGCACGGCTCTCGCTCTCTCTCTAATCAGTGGACCTTTTTATCCCGGACCAGGCCTTTCAGCACCAACACAGAGAGATGGAGGGAGATGAGGGGGGAGTGTGGAAGAGAGGAAGAATGGAGGGGGAGGGGGAGGGGGGGTGCGGGGTGCAGCTGGGGCGCAGTGGAGGGAGTGCTCTTTTCCCTGCCGCTCCAGTTTAATTGCTCTGACAGCTCAACTACGAGCCTCTATTTAGGGCTTCCAGTTTAGAGGTGGCTTTGGAGAAGGGGCGGGGGAGAGTGGGTGAGTGTGAGGGAAGACAGAGATAGAGGGATAGATAGAGAGAAAGAAGGAGAGCGAGAGGCAGCGCCTTGCCCAGGACACTGCTGCAAGTGTCATCCCAAACCAAATGAGTCTGAATGAGGGTTCCTCATTAGTGAAAGCAGCTCAAAGCCTGACCTGATTTGCTCCCAGTAGAAGGGAACTAAAAAAAAAAGAAGAAAAAAAAAAAAAAAAAAGGGACCGACAGACAGAACAAACAGGAACTTTATGGATATAAGGTTCCTTTGTTTACAGCAGTGGGATGGTGGGAGAGGAACGATCAGGGAGGAAGGCAGGTGTTGCACTTACGTTGCACATCTCTCGCACAATGGCCTTCTCTTTCTCACTGAGATCGTCCTCGTAGTCCTCAGGAACCTGCTTGTCCAGGTTCTCGTGGACCTCCAGCACCTGACAGCAGACACAGTGATGAGTGAGTGTGTATTTGTGTAGTGATCAGTTACATTACATGACACGTAGTTATGTGGTGTTAAGTGCCATTCTGGTGATGCTGTAGTGATGCAAAAGCAAAACTTTTGACGTCCCAAACTTTTCTCTTTTGCTGTAATGTATATTTTACTCTTTTGCACTAATTTTACTCTTAAACTTGACTTTTCATTTTGGTATTTAAATAGTTTTCATCACAAATAAAAAAGTTTTGTTTAAGGCTTTCCAACAATATTCAAAACTTTTGACTACAGTGTCAATTCTGCACTTAACCAAGAGATACTGAAGTATCAAGAATCTGAATCTGGAACCAGAACTTGGATTTGGATTTGTTCAGGGATTCATGCTCTGGTGAGAGAAACAACTGACCAATCAGAGTAGGCAGGATTAAGAATGGGGATATCATCTTCCTACGTAACTAGCTAGCTTCCTGGCTATGTTTATTAAAAACAGCAATAGCATGGATGAGACTGACGCAAAAGTCGTCATCTTAAAATATTTCTTTGATCAATTTGAAAAATGATAAATGAACCTCCCCTCTGCTACAATGAAAACATTGTCAACATGAACCAAAGTTTCCCAATAATCTGATTTACTTTTCTTTTTTTTTTTTAAATAGTCTAATTACTAATATAGTACCTTCATGGCGTGCACCACGGCCTCAGGCTTCTGGACGCAGGACAGGTAGCCTGTGGCGGGAGAGGACTCGCTGGTCGGGAGACGACCCGTACCCTGAGGGGAGAGAAAGAACATAAGAGAAAATTATTTTAAAGTTTTGTGTCATGTCGTCCACAGTAAACGGCACATAGGACCTGCGACAAAAGGTTAAGAGCCAGATCTAAACCCACAACATCTGGAGGACATGCTCTGCAGACTGTCAACCTACAGTATCTCCTCACATCTGCTGTCACACAGAGTTAACCCCCTGGAGTCAAATGAACACCAGCTCACAGAGCTCTTCATCTGACCCACACCCAAGATACTTCACTCAGTAAAGAAAACATAAACCACTCTCCCCTTATCAGTGGGCGTGTGGTTCTGATTTAACAAGAGAGATTTCCTACACTGTAGCACTGGAAATGCCATCCCCTTCATCCCAACTCAGATCACCTCACCTCCGCTTGTGTTTTTCTGTCCTTTTTGCATCGGCCATGAATTCAACTGCCAGCCAGGTCTGCTACCTGCACAGTGTGATTTAACCTAGTGTGATGGGAGCAGCCAGCCAGAAAGAGAACCAGGGGGTTTGCTTGACTCATCCCACCCCCTGGTTAGTTCCAGACAGTAGCTCACTGTTAGAGGGGCACAGAGATCTCAGGGACACACAATGGCACCATTCACTGTAACCTGGCATCAGGGCCCTGCATTAGACACAGCTCCGTGGCTCTGTTAGCTCGGGTTCAATTCTCAGCTCACTAGCGATCCATTTGCTGGCCCCGTTTGGGTGCCAGAATGAGCCCCACAAAACCTAATGGCACAGAGATAAAATAATAATCCCACTGTAGCCAATAGGGATGGTTTGTGGAAACTGCCCAACAGTCTATTCATATCACATCAGCCTCATGAAAAATTGATTTTTCGCTGGTCCTGAGGGTTATGGCCTGACAAATGGTTCCCTGACAACCATAGAAACCATGGGAATAACTGTTTTTCTTACACCTGCTATGATAATAAACATGTATTTATTTCCTGAGTCAGTGAGAGGTCAATATGTCTGATCTGTGAGAGGGAAACAAAGGAATTTAGTCGTGTTTTTTCCTTTTTTTTTTTCAAAAGGTAAAATGAAACTATCCTCACAGAGTTACACTGTTAAATAAAGTCAACCCTTGCTTGATAAATTATGAAAGCTGGCTGATGAATAGCATTATATTCATGAGCTTTGATATCAGAGAAATCCTGAATATAATGAAAAGGTTAATGTGAAGTTTGGTTGTTTGTTGCATTAAAAAGGTTGAGTCAGAAGAGTCCATACGATTTTTTGATACCTTATTTTTATTTCTATAATTCATGTTTTGTTTTGTTTTTTAAAGTAAAGGAGGGCAAACCTCTTAAATGTTCAATATCGACTAAACACAAGCAGCCATTATTAAGAAATAATACAGGCACTAACAGAAAAGGCTTGGACTGACATGACAGTGATTGACATCAGATTGACATCTGTCAATCTGAGTATTCTTCAAGTCATTCAGTGTTCATATTTGTATTTATTGATTTATCATATTAAATGTTCTCACTTTGCTAAATTCTGCAGCTCCCCTCCATTTTCATTTGTTATTTCTGACCTAATTGGGAGCCCTTCTTCCACTTTTCTTTCAAGTTTTTTTTTTTTTAAATACTCTGTGCTACAGACACATTTCAGTTGGCACCAAAAGAGTCTTGAGCTTTGATACACAACTCTTCTCTTCTCGCAACTGCTGCAATCTGATCTTTAGACCATGTTGAAATGAATGGACTAAAACGGTCTGCAGAACATTTTATAGCTAATGGGATGAAAGATGCAAAAGAACAGGTAAATTATTTTAGAGATAATGATGGGAGTGATGTCTAGGGTGCTAGCTATTTATGACATCCCCTCATTATTAAAAGGGATAAGTCAACATTTGTATGAAAATGATATACAGAATATAGAATAACAACCCCCTTGTTAAATACAAACACATTCTCCCACTGTGTGTTTCTTCTTGTTTAAGGTCACAACAGCTTCATTTTCCACACAGCTCTTCAGCACTGGACTTTGAAGTCAACTACAAGAAAAAATATGTAAATCACTGTCACCTCCTTTTGATGTTCGCCTCTGTGGGTTAAAGCTATAATGTGAAATGTGTAAACACTTCCAGTGTCATAGCGTTGAACTTTTCATTTTATTCTAGACTGCAGTGAAGAGAAGGATTTGGACAGCGGAGAGGCAGAGCCAGCTCCGAGCAATGTTTACTGTTCATATGGATGTACAGTTGGGGATGGCTCGTCTGCATAAACAGGCCTGATTTAGGCCTTGCAGGATGAGGGGGGGGGGGAAGCAAACGCTGTCAGAAATAATGGTTTGTAGTTTGAGCATACAGAATCAGAGTCGACGGTTGAAGTGTTTGTGAGAGCCACGCAGGCTGGCTACTCTCTTTCTCTATCCATCTTCTCTTTTCATCTTTCTCACTTGTTTTCTATCTGACAATATCCTGCACACTCACTGACCTGAATCCGGGCCTGAACGAGAGACAAAGGACTAAATGTGCAGGATGAGCTGACAGATCAGGATGGGTACACTCAGTAAAAGTCCAGTTCACTTAACACCTCTCATCTTCTCTTTCTCCTCTTCTTCATCTTCTAACAAGGACTTTCTTCAACTTGAGCCACTTTACAAATAGCATTATCTCCATGGAGATGTCACGACGACAAAGCCATCATAAGAAGACGACACAAATCCGTATCCTATCGTAAGCTTGCTGAAGTCTCTGCTGGTAGCATGGCTGCCTCGAAGTTATGACAGGACTCCAGGAGGTCATCACTCCAAACCGAGAAATAGTCCTGCACATAATCCCCTGTAAAACCCCTATTAGTTGTTATTACACTTTGGTTTTTGTGCAGATTAAACAACTGAGATAGAATGTGTTACAGCACTTAATTGTGTTATAGCAAAGACTTAATGAAAAATATCCAAAATGTGGGAACAGAAAAACATTTTCAGTTTCCTAATTGATCCTCAGAACGACAGTGGATGCCATGTCTGCAAGGGGCCAGAATTCACACCTCATGTCAATATCATGACCTTGTTTCATGTGAAACTACAGTGTGAAATTAAATGCAGAGAGACAACCATCAACATAATTTGCAGTTTATCTGTTCTCCTGCGGGGAGAGACCTTTAAATGGGCCAAGGTTCATTGACATTATTGAGTGGCACAAGACTCCAGAGGGAGATGGATTTGACCTCACTAGCTTAAAAGATGCGAGATGACCTGCACCTCACACTGGGCCTGTGATTAAAACATAATATTGATTTTTACACAGGGAAGATTTAGTCCTCTGGGTAGTGGCATAGCCCGACTCTGACCTTCCTTAAGCAGGCAGAAAACAATTATCCAGCCTCTCCTCCCCAGACACTGGCAGGGTCACAGGTGGCGGTGGATTGTAGAGAATTATTACTTTCATAGCGGGATTCAGTTCAAACAGGCTCCAGGGGGGAGGATGGAGCTGAAGGGCCAGGATACAGGAGTGAGAGCAGGGGAGGCTGACTTCTGTTAATTTTGCAGTCTTATCTCTGTCTTAGTTTCTTTTCTTCCTCTTTTCTTTCCCCCCTCTTGTCCTTCCTCCTTTTAGTCTCTTTTTTTCTTCCCTCGCTCTCGTCCTTCCTGTATATGTGTGTGTCTGTGTGTGTGTGTGTGTGTTTCACTTCCCGTCATGTGTAAGAGTGAGGTTGCCTGTGGAGGTATAATTGGAGAGTTAGCAGTAAAGTGAATTAGAGCTGACTTGACTTGATTCCACTGCGGAGGCACCGGTACAGTCCTCCCTACAATTAACTGTGTGTGTGTCTGTGTGCAATTAAACCCTGTCTCTATACATAACCACATTTGTTATAAGCAGTGTCACAGTGTTGATCTTTGACTATGGCTGCTAAAGTGGTTAGGTATGAGTGGGCATCCCTCTATGTGCTACAAATTGAGTCTTTGTGTGTGTGTGTGTGTACCCTTCTTGTGTGGGTCTGTGTTTACGTGTATGTGTGTATGTGTGTGTTAGCCTTCCGGGCACTGACCATGTGCATGGCGTCCTGGCGCTGGGGCAGCGAAGACAGCTGGGACTCTGAGTGGTAGAGGGTCATTCCCTTCCTCAGGGCACGAAGGTCACCTGGGTTACACTGCTGGGCACAAACGCGCACAAAAACACACAGACAGAAAAAAACAGAGATAAGGCTACAGAGCCATGTCAACTAAAAAAATACCTAGATGGGTGTTTCCCTACATGCTGATCAGAATTATTAATCCAAAGATAAAAATAAATACAGGCAGGAAGTTGTATGATTTTCAACCACTTTTGCAGCATAGCCCTCATTTTACTTTTTAACGACTTTTCACATTTTTACATCATTACTTTGACTCAGAAATCAACATATATGCCTATGTGAGAGTTAATACTTATATTTTACATACACATTTTGCTACATTGTATATTACCAAAAATGTACAGTTGTACAGTACCTACTGTAACCTACTTTGTGTTAAAGCCAGACCCATACAGGATGTATAGAGCCAATACTTAAGGATAAGAAAATTCTAATTACAATGCATATTGGCTGATATTCTTTTTCTACATTAACATACAACATAAACATGTAAGTAGATTTTTTTTTTTTACCTCAAACACGTCTTTGGCATTTCTGTGCTGCTCTACTCATCATATACAGTATGCTGATACAATAAGTAAAGCAGCACGGATGTTAAATCTGCAATAAGCTGACATCAGCTCATAACGCCTCCCAGGTAGATGTTTTAGGCCTAGTTCTACCTTTGAGTAAAGATATTTAAGAGTTCAACCAAAAACTCTGTCATCAAAGTTTACAGTGACATGAAATATAATCAGTAAACATTATTGAATATTAAATTATTTTGAATAGCCACACTTAAAAACATTAAACAAAACTATACAAACATAAAAACTTGTGCTGAGAAAAGGCTACCAGTGAAACATTTTTGCCAAAATACATATCTGCAATAACCTAATATTGTCAGATGATATCAGCCTGCCAATGTTTCCTTCTGGCTCCACTGTGTATATTTAGATCCTCACTGATGGTTCATTAAGGACTCTGTGATTCTTCCCCCCTCCTACACTGACACCTGCCTGCATTCTTATCGTCACTCTGACGCCATCGCTTCATTTGCAAAGCTGATTTTTATTTGTTTGGGGGTTTTTTTTCCCAACAGAAAAGGCACTGGAGAGCACTGGGGCTGTATCACTTCGTGCATCATCGAGGGACATTACGCAGGGACAGTGTTCCTAAGATTTGTCCTCATTAGCAGCCAAAGACCACTGGTTCCTGGGGGCAGTAACCAGCCTAGCTTCTCTCCGTGGGCAGGAACACGGCAACACCACACTTCCTTATGACATTTCTCATGTCACGCACTAATGTTCCCTCTGTGCGAGGCGTGGTGTGTAAACACACGTGATGCCTGGGAGCACTCGGCTATAAATAACCCAATGAGCTGTGGGTGTGCGTCTATGAATGCATGGACATTGTGCTGTGTTGTCTGCCTCTGTATTATCTCTCTCCGTGTCACACACTCAGGTGCACACTCACATGCAGTTTGCACACAATCAGCATTCACCTCATCTCCTCTGTCCTTTGATGTCCCCTTCCCCTCTTCTCTTCCGGCTCAGTATCCCGTTAGTGTTCCTCTAACCTTTCCCAATCCCTCCCTTGGCACTTCTTGATCTACCCTTTGGGTTTTCATATTCAGGCCCTCAATTCTGTACCTTTGCTAACATCTCCTTGTCATTTCTCCAGGCTTTGTGTCTGTCAGCAGTCTATGCTCTGTGTTCCGTATCTGAAGGATCGACATAAACAAACAATCACAATAAGAAGACCTGGTAAGATCGTCATCTTCTGAAAGGGTTTCCATCATCAAATGATGATTCATATTATGCTGACTCTACTTTTACAAACAAACCAACACGTCTCCAACTTTACTTCCTTCCCTGGGCTGACCTTGACCACTGAGACCAACAAAGCTATTTGTTTGCCAGACAGCTGGGGACAGTTGGCCTTCTGCAGTCTTCTTGGCTAAAACCTGTGCCCCTCCGCCTATCCATCCATCACAATGTTCTTGGTGCTGACAGGGAGAAGCTGTGGACGCCACGCATCATTTCCTGCTTGAGTTATGAGGGGCAAGGGTGAAGCCGCCTTGACAAAAGGGTAGAGAGGATGGCAGCATGCTCCATAACAGCTACAATTTAATGGAATATGGGACAGAATCAGTTTAATTTGAGTAATCTGTATATATACTATAACTTCTTATGTTGTAAACTCATTGACAGCTGAAGCTCTTGGCAAGACCGGTAAGTAAAGAGCTGTTAATGCTAACGTTGGCTATGCAGCAGTAGCAAATCTTACAAATAGCTCCTTTAAGACCCTTTAAAATGGTGCCTGTTTTCAAGTAACAAGTAAGCTGGGAACATTAAAAAGTCAGCCAGAGACGACAAACTCAAAAAGTTTTCTTTTTTATCGACCACTCTGTGAAATTAAAGACCCACTGCTTCAAAAATCCTGAAGAATTTCCAGCGGTAAGTTTCCCCCGACTTTCACTGTAAACCGCATCGACGCCGCAAGAAGAGAAAAGCTCGACTGATGCTGCAAAAGTAAGTAAACCCGCGTTCCACTCCATCTGTTGTTAGCCGATCTGACTCGATACACTTTCTCAGTTGAAGAATCAGTCATAATATAAGTGTCAATGAATGAACCACAATCCATTAACCTCTGTCATCATTCAGTTCCGCTGGACCCCGCTGCAGTCCACTCTCACAAAATGACTTCAGTTAGCCTGCAGTTAACAGATGGAGTGTCATCTGAGTCTGTCATATAAACCATTTAATTCTCAGAGTCGCACCGAGCTCTTTAATGATCAAGTGGCAGTGAACATGTAGGGAAAGCCACAGTGCCTCACACATCAGTGAGTTAAGAGAGCTAAGTAACAGTTGAAAGACATGGGAGACCTGAGTGGGAGAAAAGTTAAAGAGCAAATCGCGTTCATGTATGTGGCTCAGCATGTTTGAGTGAGAGTGTGGGTACACACACACACACACACACACACACACACACACACACACACACACACACACACACACACACACACACCTGTTTTTCCCATTGTGTTTACACCTGTGCTGTGTAGGATTTTGTTCATATCTGCTGTGTGAGCTTGTTGTTAACTCCCTCCCTTGTCCCTTTGGTACAGTAAAATCCTTCAGGCAAGCTTGTTTGGAGGGTCAACATTCCTGCGATAAGAGGCTATTGTTTCCTTCAGGCTTAACATAAGTTTCACTGGACCAGTTTCATAACGCAGGAAGTTAGGCAACATGTCCATTGAGGCAACTAATTCAAAGTAACAATGCCACCTGCTAGCATTCAGACACATCAGTAAGTAGGCTATTGCATAAGAGTCAGATTAAATAGTAAACGGGAGAAAGGCTCCTTTTTTCATTATTTACTTGAGTACTTTCAAGAAATCAACGTTTATTAATGACACAACCATCAAGATGTTTCTTAACTTCAGACAGACATTCCCTCGTTTCTCAGTTGCACTCACATACCAGTTGTCGGCCATGCATTATGGATGCCTGGTTCTACCTGTGTGGCCTCCGTATCTTAAATTATTCAGCCCACCAGACGTCCCGACGAGCGAGGACAAGCGTGTGTCATTTATGCACCAAAGCACAATGTAGCATTCATTCACCTGGGGTACCTCTCACCAAACACTGACTGCGCGGTGCAAAACAGCTCCAAGGACAGCGGAAGGCTTTCTTGCCAAGATGGGCCACTTACAAGCAGGGCCACCTGTGTTCATTCATTAGCACAGCATGCTAGCAGAGCATAGAGGGGCCAACAAACAGGACTGGACACAGAAGCAGGACCTTTACAAGGTAATGCAGCCTAATTCCTTTGTGCCTATGACACGAACACTGTGTCAGAGAGCTGATTCAGTTGTGTGGTAATGTTTGAGGCTTTGCTCTGTTGTACTGGACTGTATTATTACAGACAGAATATTAGATCCAGCACCACATGCCTGAACATAGCTTTAAAGAAACAGTTTGAAATTTTGGGCTAAAATCTTGTTTGCTTTGATGCCAGAGATGTGATTGATACAACTCGCATGACTGATAAATATGAAGTTACAGCCAGCAGCCGGTTAGCTTAGCTTAGCAACAAGAAGCAAGAAGCTAGTCTGGTTAACAAAAAAAAAAAAGTCTATGGTGAACATATTATATCTCGTTTGTCTCATTTGTACAAACAAAGTGTAAAAGCAAGAATTCATGGTTTTCTGAGGGATTACTTTTAATTAATATTAATTAATATACTATTTCTTAGCTGGGTGCAATGGTTTCCTGACCACCAGTACGCTAGAGACTCCACCAAAGCATGTCGTATTTCCTCTTCAGTTCTTGAATGATTTAAACATATATTAGGTGGATAGATATTAGGTGTTTGTTTGTCTTCATGCTAAGCTAATCTAACCAGCTGTTGGCTGTGGCTTCATATTTACTGTATATACAGAACTTGAGAGTTGTATCAATCTTATCATCTAACTCTCAGCAATAAAGCGAATAAGCGTACCCTTCAAACATTACCATAAAGCTGATTTAGCACCTGTCTGTAAGCATCAGCGTAAATTGAACTTTTCATTATGCAACGGAGTTCACTCTACAGTTAGACTGTACAGGTGTTCCTTATATTGTGTCCACCCTCTGTGTAAAAGAAAAGCAACAAGCTCAAAGCTGTGAAAAGTCACCACCACCAGACAGATAAAAGAGAGGAAAAGGCGAAAGAGGCTGGCTGAGACAAGCAGAGAAGCCAACGAACAGTGGCATTTCAGAAAGTTACCTTTTTCGTCTGTATCTGTGATAAGCTATACCGGCTATAAGCCTAGAGAGAGAAAAACATAATGGTGTATTGGTTCATTATTTGATTATTGGGAGCCAAAGGTTTTGAATATATTCTTCCTGTGCTCCACAAGACATAAAAGATACTGTAAAAAAAAAAAAAAAAAAAAAAGATGAAAACATACTCATCCCAGAGAAAGAACACACATTATCACTTCAAATGTGAACGAGTAATATTAACTCACTTTAAGAAGCAGGTTCATATTATATGCCTTGTCTCCTGTGAGACAATGTGTAGCACCTAATTGTAGCACTTAAGGGCAATGAGGATCATTTAGGTTTGGTATCAGGGATTCCAGCCTACACTCTCTGCCTACATATGAATCTGCTGGGAGATCATTTGGGGAAAGAGAAATCACTTAAAGAAAAGAATAAAAGCTTAGAATCAAAAAGCCTTTTGAACTGTGAAATTCCAGCTCAACTGTCTGCAGCCTGACACGCATTCAATTAAACTGAATCACATCATAAAACCTTACAATAAAAAAAGATAACAAATGATGTACAAAAGACGATGATGTATGAATATATTTTATGCTGTTTATGAGAGTTTACCAATAATTAATGAGCCATAACTTTGAATGTTTCACACGGGACCAACTAATATGTTTGTGTTAAATAAATTTTACCATGAGTACGTTTGTGGTTGCGTGCATATAACACACATCTCGGCAGACTGACATGCGACCTCCTGGTGAACCAAACCAGAAATCCACCCATCCTCTTTCTCACACTCCCACCTCCACTCACTCAGCCCTCCATCCTCCAAATTTGAGAGAAGTCAGAGCAAGGTCAACTTTGGGAGAAATGCTTTACTCTGTCACTGTCACTTAATGCCTCTTTCCCCTCCTTTTTCCTCCTCTCATCTCTCCTCCGCTCCCACAGTTCCCCTCGGGGGCTAACATCACCGCTCGCTCCTGAAGCTTACTGACTCCCCATGAATTAAACATGGATAAACATATTCTCCAACTAACAGGCGGGCTGTTGTGAGGGGGTGGCTTCAGAGAGGCATCAGGCAACCACTTTATCTCACACAGCTGCCGATCACATGTCTTTGGGTGAGTTAAAAAAGTTGCACAAGAGGAGTGTAGTGAGGGTATAAGTTCAAACAGTGCTGGAATGGGCTAACAGATGTCTGTAACTGACAGAGAGGGAGAACATGACAGTGATGCACATACGTGTGCCTCACCTGTGAGAGAAGCTTATTGTTATCGTCCTCCAGGATCCGCACTTTCGTCTCCAGTTGCCTGATGTAGTTGGAGGAGGAATCTGTAAAAAAGGAGAGGAAGCAGAAAAGAGAGGAGGAGAAGTGATTAGCATTTAAAAGACCTCAAGCGGAAAACAGGCAGGCAGGGCCACTGGAGCAAACCGACCACATAGAGCTCCGAAAGGTTGCTGTGCACTTTGAGAGACCCAAACACTCCCAGTGAAAGAGCATTCTCCAGACGAGCGGCGTCACATCACGGTCAGAGTTTAAAGTTGAAATATGTGCAATACTTTGTCCTTTTATTGGGGTTTTCTTTTACTTTGAAACTCCCTTGACTTAAAACAATTCTTTTGCAACCAAAAAAAAAACTAAAAAACCAACATGCACAGCTTTGATATTGCTGCTTGTTATTGAAAATGTATCAGAGAAACGATTCTAGTATTTTATTGATTATTTTAGCCTGTAAATGTGGAACAGTGGAAAATGCTACTCAGACTAGAGACTGGTGCTGCATCATTAAAACCAATCAACAGAATAAAACACAGATATTCAATTTACAATCATACAAAACAAAACAAAAGCTACAAATGCTCATATTTTGAGAAGCTGAAAACAGATAATGTTCAGCACTCTTTGTTACAATTCCTTCTTTACAATTATTCTTTCAGTCAATTGAATCATTGATTAATCAACTTGTCATTTAAACCCTAAATTTAAGCCTTTTGGCTTTTAGAAAAATGTAACTACTAGCTTTATTCTGCAAATCCGCCTACCATGTTTAGTCCCTTGTGAAAAGTCCTCATGTGCTAAAAACACTAGTTGTAGTTGAGTGTCAAGGGTCAAGCACTGAGAGTTCCCACCCAGATTAGCAGTGCTTGACCTAACTTCTGACCTCAGGCTTGGCTGGGGCCATTTCCCAGTTTGGTCCACATATTTCCAGAGCCTCTCATTCACTGTGAAACAGGCATCACTGTCTGTTTTGATATTTGTCACAAAACCGTCCCTATACTGTACACGACTGACAAACTGTGTAATTGTGGCCTAATTGCTCCATAGAGACGCACCACCCTCGCCGATCCTGATAAAGCAGCATTCTGCGTTAACATCAATCAACCTCACCGGGTTCAAACCAGGGACAGCAGCTGTGTGAAGACTGGAGGTACAGTTTGACTCAGTAGGTGGCACATAGCCTGTTATCTAAAAAAGCATGTTTAATTTACAGTGAGATCAAAGCCAAGCTACGCACAGGAACTGCACTCCAGCAGCTAGTGAGGAGCGCACCACTGTGCACACGGCTTTATTTTATTTTGTTTTCTAAGAGGAGGCACAGAGAGGCTGAGAGTGGAGACGAGGATGGGGAGATGTAATAAAGCCGGTGGGGAGGTTGCTGATGAAAATGATGGGTTGAGTAAGATGCAGATGAGAAGTCACTGCTGCAGGGTACCACACACACACACACACACACACACACCACACACACACACACACACACACACACACACACACACACACACACACACACACACACACACACACACACACACGAAATCACAACTTGTTGCGCAACTTGAGGTAAGTCGATGACCTTGGATTTACCCAAACAAGTTTTCTAACCTTGTTGATTAGCACAATGCAACCAGGGGGCACTATTGTGCAGAATCAACAATCAAGACACACACACTTATCAGAAAGTGTGCAGACCCCTTCACTTTTTTCACATTTTGCACTGTAGATTTATAATAACACACAGTCACAAATAATAGCCACCACCTTGTTTCACACATAGGTGAATGTTTAGGTGTATGTTTACATGCACTTAAGCAAACTGGTTATTATCAGCTTTCTGCAGTAAAATGAATTCTTATAATATTCCTTACAATATAAATATAATCTAAATCAAACCAGTCCTTTTCATAGACAGGGAAAAAAAATTAGCGAAACCTGTTTAGCACATATGATATATGCATGTAATGGAGTTCTTATGGGAATTAAACGTTTCCAATTTATATTTACTACTGGGAGGAGAATGATGAATTTTGTAGCATGAAGTCTCACATCCAAAATACTGGATCCAAAGTTTGACTGACACTGAAGATGATGCTAAATAAATGCTAAATAAATCAGTGGGTTCCCACAACTAAACAGCAGATTATTTGTGAAATTCAGACACACACTGTGTTCTCTCAGTACACAGCCTGTTCTCTCACTTCAGCATCAGTCCAAATGCTATCTATCACTTAAGACACTTGAAATACACTAGCCTAATTTAAATAATATGGTACTAGTAGATGAGGAGTAACCACATTATTGACCACGTTGTGGCCTTCTGTTTTCCTCCTGATTAATTCCTATAACTTGGTTTATTATGGTGCATAAATAGCAATAAATACACAAAATGTTTTTCAAGAGCTGAGAGTAGACACAAGTGAATGACAGTAGCCCTTGCAGGGCCTGAAGGCCTATTTATGTCCAGCCCTTTGACTTTTTTAGGTGAGCCAGTGCAGACTGCTGTCAGTTGGCCGATGGTTGGACAGCTACAAGAAGAGGCTGTAGTGGCCAGAGCTGGTAATCCTCTCTTCCTGCCCTGTGACCCTCTAATCTGGATTCATCTGCTGGGCTAACCTGCAGCCAGATCTCAAGCCGATTAGGATGAAGGTTCCTCAGTCTTCAGTCATCACCAGCACACTCAAACAACAAAACAAAAAGCCTCAGAAACACAGGGAGGATGGAAAATGAATGCTGATTGCTGGTGGGCCCCCCCCCCCCCCCAAGTGGTGTATATATTACTCACAGAGATGGAGATCTCTCCATCAGTAATCCAATAAACTCAAAAGTCATCCAAGTCTGTCAGGCTTATTTTTTTAATCTACTTAGATCTAATTAAATAAAAATTAAGATAAGCAATCAAAGATAAATAGCTCAGACGTACCCTATTCAACTGGAGAACCCCAGAATTGGCCTAAAGTGAGGAATCCCACAGCCATGAGCACTCTGCGTCTTCACTTAACACAGCACCATCTCTCCCTTCCACTCCCCATCTATAAGCCTTTGATGTGTTATAAGGGGTTACGTTAAATCTCAGAGCGCATCACTTCAGCATCACACATGACATGATTAAGTGGTCCTGCTTAAATATGTGCAGATCTGCCGTGGGAACATTCACGGGAACACCAAACATGCACAAACACCTCCCACACGCACACACACACACAGTACGCAGTACACACACACACACACACACACACACACAGCCGCAGGGATCTGCAGGGAGAAGCCCGTCACCCTCTCTTTAACACCCGGCTCTGGCTCCGTCATCATCCTGGTGGGAGAGGGGGTCAGGCAATTCAACTGTTCCCTGGCTCCCCTGCCACTCCTCCATCCTTTTATCCCCTCCACCCCTCCGGCTTCACAATCCTCTCCTCACCACTCCTCCATGAAGCTGGAGGAAAAGCTACAGATCATACAGGGCTCCCAGAGCCGAGCCAAAATAATTACCCTGCAAAACTCAGCCCGGCATCTACTCTTTTATACACAACACGCACAAAGAGAGAGGCTATTATTACTTATGCATAACCTGAATGTGATCTTAAGCGCTGATAAAGTGAGTACAAAGCTCTGTGAAGAAGTAAGAAAGTAAAAAATGTCCAACTAAGCAGTAAACAATAGAGAGAGAGAGATGAAGAGAGAAGCGAGGAAAAAACTTGCCCTTATAAGACAAAAGTAAACTATTTTTAACTCTGCACAAGTGTTGTTTACCCAGTGAATTGAGCTGATGTATCTTCATGTGAGAGAATGTGTGTGTGTATTTGTGTGTGCACAGGACAAAAGGTGACGCAGACAGTGGTGAGAGTCCATCCCCCCTCTCTGCACGTCACTTTTCATCATGTCAGTGCCACTGTGACCCACTTCCAGCAGCCACTCCCTCCTTAACTCTGCCCCACTCCCTGTTTCCCTCTCTTTCTGTTTTATTGCATCCCTCTACTTTAACTGCTCTGTCCATTGTCTTTCCTTTCTGCTCTTAAAAAAGAAGAGTAAAAGCTTTTGAGGGACTGACCCATTGGTCAACTTTGCAGGGACACATTTTAGTGCCTTATGTTCTCATCACTGTTGTTTTGTAAGTTAAACAAAAGGAAAGGTTAGCTTCCAAAAAACCTTTGTGATCCTTCAAAAGTAATGACATCTTTGTTTTCTACTGTGCTCCAAATATCCTATACCCATCTGCCCATCACGGTTTGACATCACAGCCTCTTCTGCACAGTTAATCTACACCACATTCACACTGTCTGCAAGTTTTTTAGCTATTTGGAATGAGGCACGATTCTCCATCCAAAATTCTAATGAATATTATGAAGAATAAGTTAGAAGACGTGCCTCACGAGCAGGATCTTAATCACTCCCAAATCAATGTCCACTTACTACCACACTATCACATGGTCTTCATCAGTAGATGGAGTTTGTAATAGGTAAGATAAGTTTGGTGATATTCTATATTTTTTCTTCTTGTCAACAAATCGCACGAAAACCAAAAATGAACTGATCCTTCTCACAGACTAAATACTGTCTATGAAGGGTGCCGCTGCACAGGGTAAAATGCCCCTTCGAGATAATGAACATTGGCACTGCAGTTTATTTTGATTCGACTGTTAATAATCCCCAGTAGCTGAAATCTGCTGCTAGAAGAGGTCCAACAAAAATCACTGTTTACAACTGTTTGAGTAGCGCTTTTTTTTTTTTTTTTTTTTTTACAGAAGTAAAAGTACATTAGGTAGGGTGGAATAGTCGAAAAAAAAGACATTTACGTTTCTTACAGCATTTGTGCAGCTTCGTTTTCAAAGTTCTCACTGTTTTAAAGTATATGTGATTGACATCATGAAACGATACTAGTACAGTCTTTAAAGGGATTGCTTTTTAATAATATACTTTTACATTTTAAAATGTTTTAGGCCACTTGAAATAGCACTCCCCTCCTTACATTTCCAGTTTGCTTTTCCATTTCTCCATTTATTCTCTTTGTCACGCCCTCCTTATATATGTTTCAACTCCCAGTATGGGGCAGTGGGTG